ATGTTGGATCCCATGGAAATGGGATCCCCATCCCCAGGCCTCAGGTGTCCCTGAACCAGTTTTGTTTTGATGTATTCTGGTCAACATCTTCTTTTTGTTTTAATCTGTAGTGAGACCAAATTTTATTTTATTCTGAGACAGGGTCTCATGTAGCCCAAGACTAGATTCTTAATCACTTTATATTTAAGAATGACCTTGCACTTTTGATTCTCCTGTTTCTACCTCCCAAGTGGTGGGGTTACAAGCTTTCACCACTGTTGGGAGCGATTTCCAGGGGTTCCAGGAACCAGGAGCTTCCATCTGCATTGAATATCGGATGCTAACTGATTTGTTATAGAATGACATGGCCAAAGTGGGGAATGTCTCCTAGTTTGCATCTCTGTGGGCCTAAGCATCTGAATAGGCCTGCACCTGGGCAGAGGGGCTAGGTGTGTAAGTAGCAAGTGGGGAGAGGGGTTAGGAGCCATCTAGCAGAGAGAACAGGAGGAGAGAAGTGATCTCCTCGGGGCCTTGGAAGCACGGTCAACAAACAGCCGAAAAGATGGTAAATAAAGAAAAGACTCTAGTTTTACAACATGGAACTGAGAGCTCTCTAAAGATGACAAGATGCCTGTGTTTGGTCTTTATCGCCACTGGGTTACTAGGAGTTTCCAGTTCCACACACCCCCACTCAGGCAGAACCTCATGGCTGTTATGGCTTGGAGCTGAGACATGCAGGGTCACAACACACCACCACCCAAGGTCTTTATTTTGATTGTTGCCTTTGCCACCTCATTGTAATTTATTGCTCCCAGAGTCTGTTTTTGTAGATGGCATCTATTTATATACTTTCCACACTACAGTGTGTTTCTTGAGGTTGACTATAAGAGACGCTCCTTAGATGGTGCCAATATGAGGTACTTAGTTTTGGTGGCTGTATTGTAATTTTTGTTCATTTTTGTCTTACTATTACTTGAACAATTTTCCTATGCATTGACATATGTACACCCTTGGGGATTGTAGGGACAGGTGGACTACATCAAACATTTTTTTAAAAGGCCACAAGTAGGAACTTGATAACTTTTAGCAGACACAACGGACTATACTTCTCCATGAAATTGTCAATTTCATGGTCTTGTCACTCTCATTCATGAGACAAAATTCCTTAGAGAAAAAACTAATTAAATAAAATCCTGGTAACACTGAAGGCCTTAACATTAACTGAATGTAAGACAATCTTGTAGCCTTTGAATTCATCAATTAAACTATGCATTAGTTTTCACTATGTTACTAATCCCAATAAAGCATTCATGTATATTTTTATTCAACTTGAGTGATTGTCTTACACGCACATGTATCAAAGATTATACATTGAAGGAGTTGAGTAAAACAATGATCATAAAACCTATCATTAAATATATTTTTTCTTTTCATATAAGAACTGACAGAATTTCTCATTTTCTGTCTGAACTCTAAGCTGCTGATGTTTTGCTCCTCATGAGTAGATATGAAAACTCTGGAACTCTTCTCAGAAGATCGTGGAAGCGGGAAGAAAAAAGAGAAAAACAGGAAAACTAATCAAAACCCAATTCTAAAAGATCAATAAAATTGACAAATGTTTAGCTAGGTAGGAAAAGGAAAAAATGCAAGGTATAAATTACTGAAATCAGGAATAAGAAAGTAAACATAACCTCTAGTACTATGGAAATAAAAAGGGTAATGAACCTGGGTATAGTGGCCCATGAACCCAGCACTAGAGAAGCTGAGATAGGAGGAGCAAAAGTTTGAGGCCAGGAGCTGGAGAGATTGCTCAGTGATTAAGAGCACTACCTATCTTCTAGAGGATATAAATTCAGTTCCCAGAACACATGTGGCAGCTCACAACTGTCTGTAACTCTAAGTTCCAGGGTATCAAGTACACTCTTCTAACCTCCATGGGCATCAGTCCTACACATGGTACACAGACACACAAGCAAACAAAATACGCATACACATAAAATAAAAATAAATCTTTAAAAAATTTGAGGCTGGCTTTACTATCCAATAAAGACTGTTTTAAAACAAAACAAAGCACTGTGCAACCTCCACAAAATATTGTAGAATAATATTATGAACTATTGTATAACAACAAATTAGATAATAAAAATGAGATAAAAACATGAAATATAAAAACATTGTGTAAACTATCAGGAAATCTAAATAGTTCTATTGTAAAGTTAAGTGATTGAACTGACCAATTTTAATAACCTCCTCCAATGAATATAATGGATCCATATGGCTGCACAATTGAATTCTACTAAATGTTTTCAGGATTTATGTCAATACTTATGAAAGCTATAAAAGCAGTCAGGAGACCACTGCAATGCATTCTGTGAGGCCAGTATTAAGTTGATAATGAAACCAGATAAAACCATTGTAAAAAAGCTAAATACCAATTCTCCTCAGGAATATTAATTTAAAAGTTATTCACAAGGTCTGGAGAAATAGCTTAGCTGTAAGACTGCTTGTCTGGCAAGTTAAAAGTTCTACATCTAATCCCCCAGTATTAAAAATAAATAAATAAAAATTTAAAATATCACCAGGTTTGGGGTTATAGCTCCGTTGGTAGAGTAGTTCCCTAGTATTCATGAGTCCCTGGTTTCCATCTGCAGCATCCCATAAACTAGGTGTAGGGGCACACATTTGTGATCTTGGCATTCTTGAGGCAAAGGAAAGAGGATCAGAAATTCAAGGTTTGAGGCCAGCCTGGACTACTGTCTCAAAAACATAGATCACCAACAAAATGGTAGCAGAGAGAATCCTAAAATAAACAGGAAGGTTCACAGAGCGTGACCAATTGGATATTACCCAGGGATGTAAAATCAAAATATATACATATGCATCTATCCATATAAAGAGAGGAGGTTTATAGATCATTGCAATGAAGAAAGTAATGCAATAAAGTGAGTCACTCAAACCTTTTGTGCCTCAGTACATGTGAAAGTTATGTTTATAGCATACCATAGTCTGTTAAGTATGCAATAGCATTATACCTAAAATGTACATTCTTTAATTAAAGCATACAGAAGAACCAAGGATGGGAAGTTGTAACATCTTGACTTGTTTTTGTGAAAGAGTGATCTGTAGCATGAGAAGCTGCTTTGTGCTGGTTGTCCCTTAGTAGACAAGCTTTCAAAATGGAACTCAAGAGCATACCTGCAATAGTAGCACTCTGGAGATGGAGGCAAAAGGATAATTTCATGACTATTCAGAGAGTTTGAGGCCATGAGATGGTGCTTTAAAAATCAAATCAAAAGAGTGAAGTCAATAAGCTAGGTGTAGCGGCATATACCTATGAGTCCGAACTACTAGGAACTTGATAAGGGATGATCACTTGAGCCAGGAGCTCAAGACCAGCCTAAACCACATAGCAAGCTCATATATCAAAAAAAAAAAAAACAAAATAGAAAATTAAAATTTTGAAAAGTTTGATATTCTTCCCTACTTCATATTGCAATGAATGTTTTAGAGTGGTGATATGGATGTCATTGTCTTCTACTTCCTTTATTGCCTTGTTATTGAAACACAACCATTTTGGCTACAGTAATGAAAATAAGTTCTGAAAAAGAGAAACAAAGGTCTAGAAATGGAAAACTCGAGTCTTAAATTTGCCTTCTTGTGAGAACTTAGGGTTATTAAT